TTTTTTTTTTTTTTTTTTTTTTTTAGTATTTGGTACAGGATCTGACTGGACTTGTAGTGATCCTCCTGTTTTCAGCCTCCCCAGCACTAACATTACAGGCACCACGCCCAGATTCATTTGCCTGCTCACTATGCCCAGGATGGGGCCAGCACAGCATGTGGGACTGGGAATCGAACCCTAGTCCCTGCACTTGCCAAAGAACAAGTCATTCTTAATTCCTCCCTCACCTTCCTTTGCTTCCATTCTTCATCCACCAGCAGAACAAGCTCTTCTGCTAAGTCGGTCTCTTTCTCCTCCCCCAGCCCACTGCGTCTGTCACATGGTTGCCTGCTGCAGCCTCCTAACTCACTGTGTAAGCCCAGGTTGGCCTCAGACCAGCAGCAGTCCTCTTGCTGCAGCCTCCCAAATGCTGGAGTCATAGGCTCTCTCATTTATTTATTATTATTGTTTTTTGTGGCCAGCTCAGCCCACCCTGGGGGCGGGGCTGGCACTGCATGTGGTACCAGAGATCTAACTGCAGTCCCTACGTGCTTGCCTAAACAGTGCTTTAGACTGCTGAGCTATCTCATTGGCCTATTTTTAAAATTTTGATCTGAGAGCTCAAAAAGTTGCCCAGACTGGACTAAAACTTGAGATTCTTGTGCCTCAGCCTCCATAATATCATTTTTAATATTTTCCTTTATAGGGAAGCAGTCCTCATGTCCCCTTTAACAGATGAAGGTGCAACTTAGAGGTTAAACCTCTGGCCGGTCATGATCACAAGAACAGGGGTAAAGCTGGACTTGATGGTGCATGCCTGTAATCTCAGAACGCTGGCTGCTGAGGCAGGAGGGATTGCTGTGAGTTCTATAAAACAAAACAGAGCAGAAGTGAAAGCCACAATTTGAAAGGTGAACCCAATTCTTGCCATTCCCAAAGCACATGGATTTTTAGTGTGGGAAGATGAGGTCAGTCTCAGGCATGTTGAAAGGGGTAATAGAAGTTGGGTGTGGTGGAGCGCCAGCAGCAACCAAATACATTAAAAAAAAAAAAAAGTTGTGTGAGGGTCAGAATTGCCGCCTCATTAGAGTCAGAACTGAACCACTAGCAGCCTCCCAGGCCTGGCATGTTCTGCACAGTGGTGACTTCCCTACCTTCAGTACCTTATTTTTCCCCCGGAATCATCAGCAGTACCTGGCCTCGAGTCTGAACCCTATGGGCTGGACAACTGGACAACCTGAGGTTTCAAGATCTCCTTGAGGGAGGAATGGGGCAGGGATGCTGGGCATATCCGTAGCTAAGACCAGAAGGCCCTCAGGGTTCTCATCATATTTGCCTTGGGTGGAGTCTTCAACCCTCATCTAAGTTGGAGGAAACCCTGTGCCTGAGCAGCACAGGGGGTGGGCAGAGGTAGGCCCTGAGTGCTGTAACACCAACTTTGGTTTATTAAGCTTTACTCTGTGAGTACTTCTATTTTTTATTGATCACTTGATTGATTGATTGATTGATTGATTGATTGCACTGCTGGGGATCAAAGCCACAGTCTTGCACATTGCTGGGCAAGACCCTACCACTGAGCCACACCCCAACCCAGTGTGAAAACTTCAGCAGTATCAGCCCATTTAACCCTGCTTATCACACAGAAATGGAGAAAACTGATTGGTGGAGATGCTGTGTGATTGTCCAAAGTCAAGTAGCTGGAAGGTGGCTGAGTCCAGAGTCTGGGCCTGGAGGCTGTGCTTTCCTACCCTAGGCTGCAGGAGCTTCCCAGTGCCCCACCCCAACCTTCCTTGCCGCAGACTTCCTAGTCCAGAGATTGGAAACTCCAGGGTTAGCCCCCTATCTTTGATGACCTTAAGGAGTAGAATTCAATAAAGATTTCCAGAGCTGCATGTGTTGTAGAAAAAAGACTTTGGACACTATTTGGCCACGAAGGATTTACAGAGCTAGGGAGAAGGTGTATTCCTAGCATCCTGGAGAAGACAGGAAGCCTAGGGCAACAACCAGGCTGAGAATGTGGGAGGGGCAGGGCCAGACTGCCCAGCTGCACCTGCCTTGTTACTCACAGTGATTTTTTTTTTTTTTTTTTTTTTTGTGTTTGGTACAGGGTCTCACTGTGCAGCTCAGACTCCTGGTGATCCTCCTGCTTTCAGTTCCCCAGCGCTGGGATTACAGGCCAGCCCCACCACACCTGGTCTTGGTGGCTGGCTCAGTGTGCCTGGGTGTGGGGCCAGCACAGCATGTGGTACCCGGATCGAACCCAGCGCTTGCCTGAGGCACTTAGTCTGCTGAGCTATCTCACTAGCCCTGCCCATAGTGATTTGCCTTCTCCATTTTGGGGGTGCTTTGTTTGGGTTTTTGGTCTTTTTGAGACGGTTTCACTATACAATTCAGGCTAGCCTTGAACTCAAAGGGATCTTCATGCCTCAGCCTCCTGAGTGCTAGAATTATAGTCATGTGCCACCATGCCCAGCACCTTCCCTGTTTTGTAATACCTGTTTTTGCAACAACCATTTTGTAACACCTGGTTTGTCTGGTAGCTTTATCTTTTCCTGGACTGTGTAAGAAACTCAGGCTCATTCCAGTGTGGAGTTCTCCACCAGAGGGCACAGGTGGTCTGGTTTGGTAGTTTTTGTTTTTGTCTTTTTGAGGTAAGAATCTTGGTGTGCAATTCAGGCTGTCCTTGAACTCACTTTGTAGCTCAGACTGCAGGAGTACACCACCACACCCCACTGAGGGGTTTTTTTGTTGTTGGTTTTTTTTTTTTGCAGGACCAAGGATTGAACTCAGGCCCTTGCGCTTGCCAGGAAAGCACTTATTTCACTGAGCCATCTCCCTGGCCCTGTTTTTGTTTTTGTTTTTGTTTGAGACAGGGTCTTGCTATGCAGTTTAGGCTGGCCCTCAGCTCACTTTGTAGCTCAGACTGGTCCCGAACTCACAAGTGCTGGGATTACAGGTGTGTACCACCATGCTTCCCTCTGAATTTTATTTTGGACTCTCAGTCAAAAGCATTCAGTCAAACTGGGCATGGTGGTGCACACCTGTAATGCCAGCATTCAGGAGACTGAGGATGGAGGATGGACACAGGTTCAAGGCCAGACTGGACCACACAGGGAGACCCTGTTTCAAAAAAACAAAGCAATAGCAAAAAAAAAATTTGCTAAATTGCCCTGGCTGGGTTTGAATTTGGAACTTTCCTGCCTTAGCCTCCCAGTTTGCCAGGATTATAGGCATCACTACCATAACTACTTT